ATATATATATATATATATATGTAGATGTATATATCTATATATTGTAACGTTTTTCTATATATGACAAAGAAAGGGACGATCAGTTACAAAGGAGAGAAAACATATATATTAAATTCAAACAAACTATCATTGCTGCTTTTCTTCATGAGTGCATATTACCAATATTTGTTTTATGATCTCAGTTCATGACTGAAGAGCATGATCTGAGACATCGCAGTCTCGGGAACTATAGGTGGTGTGGATCCCATCCTTGTATGTTATAAAGAGGGTTATTTTCATTATGAGTGTGGTAACTTAAATACGTTCATTTGATTGGGCCAAAAATTAAACTGTTACGGGTTCATGTACAGTTTTATGTGCCACTACCATAACATATGTTTTACAGCCACCTCTTATGCATGTAATGTCAAGAAGTTGCATGTGTTCCAGTCATGGCATTCAGGACAATGCATAACATAGTGTATGCACATTAAGTATTAGTGCAATTTGAACTGCTTTGTGTGTTGTGTCTGTTACGTCAGTTCAGGGCAAGTCAGTGTGTTTAATCTCTCATATGCATATGCAGCACATTATGGGTGGAATATGGATAGGATTTTCACTCATAAATGACAGCACCAGATTAGGTGTATCTTGCAAGAAGAAGAAATTATGTAAATTTAAAAGAAGTCTTCTACTTTTTGGTTCAGATGATACATGTGGCAGTGAAAATCCTGGATTATTATTCATTATTTTCAAATGCTTGTGATAACCACTCCGAAAGACATTCAGACCTTAGTATATGTATTGTATTATATATATTATGAAGTTAAGAGACAGACTTGTAGTTACATATTTGAACTTTTTTACAGGAACAAAATTTTGTATAAATTTCCTCAGTAATGAGGTTGCACCGTATAGCCTGTTTAGATGAAAGAAAGACCACATATTAACATATTAAAATGAGACTGACTCATTGGCAAAGGCTGAAAATACATTTGCACAGAGCAAAAGTCAGTACATTTATGAAAAGTTTCTCCAAGTTGCATCTCTTACTATCATTTCTCCCCCTCCCCCTCGGGACAGCTGAGTCAGTATAGCGACGTGCTACAGACTGGATGTCTTAAGATTTGATTCCTCGCAGGAGCAAGTGATTTTGCTTTACTCCACAGCATCCAGACTGGCTGTGGCACCCATCTATCCTCCTATCCCCAGGGGTGAAGCTGACCACTCACATCCCTGTAGTGTCGAGGTCAAGAATGTTGGAGCTATATCTCCACTTCCCTACACGTCTGCATGGCGTAGTGTCTAATTAAGCACAGGAATGACTTTACTGTTTTATCTTTCACGTCTGTATGTAGGTACTGAGAAACTTTGTTTTACAGGGGAGTGTAATGGAGACCAAACTTGTGAACCTCAGACATGTGACAGGGCAAGACATGGCTCCTCAAATTTGAACCTGAGTACCAAAGGACCAGGAGGATTGACTTTAACTCTTCAACAGATGCTAGAGGTGAGATTCCTTATCGCTTCAATAGTGGTGCAGGATTCACATGTATAGTGAGGGACTACTCAGTATAGCTAGCTGTCCAGCAAAATGTATCAAAAGAATCCATGGATGACATTTTTAAAATACATTAATAGAGCAGACACCTGTCTCCAAAATATGTCAACTTGCGTAGATTGGACACTGCCACCTAAAAGGACACCTTTCCAAACTGTGACTGACAGAGGACCCAACTTGTGAGAGGTGCCTACAAGAAGATGAATTAGCCACACATATCTTATGTGACTATGAGGCTATAGCTTATTTAAGATATCACCACCTGGCTCAATTCTTCATGGAACCAAGTGACTTTTATGACGCCCCCGTAAACAAAGTCCTACATTTCATTCAAAGTGTAGGATTAATAAGGGTTAATCCAAAGGGGAAGCACAATAGACCATTGAAGGTCACAGTGCTAGGGCCAGTTTTATGGCTCACCCCTCATACTCATACGTATGTGTAGATTGTAACAGTGAAATTAATTTAACCTTTAAACGCCGGACTTCGAAATAGTGGTAAGCTTGAGCTGGCCGGAGTTTATTTAACTCTTTGACTGGTGCGGGCGTGTTTTAACGCCCGGACGATGCCAGCCGTTCCCTGGCGTTGGCGTGTTTTAACGCTTTGACAATCTCGTCCCTTCTTTGCTCTCTTGGCACTCATCAACCAAAGACATATTTATGATAGTTTTTGTGCATGTTTGTAAAGAACCCTTGTAAACTTTGTGGCGGTCTATATTACTGTCAGAACCCTCTGAGAAGGTAAAGGTCAGAAAATATTTCACATTCATTCAGTTTCACCATAGCTTCTTGCAGCAAGTGTCTTCGTTTTCCTACAGACCAGCTGGAAAATGTTGTGAACGAGATTTTTTCTGATGATAGTGGCGATGAAATAATGATTCCTGAATTGGATGAAGTTGATTGTGACAATAATACAGTGATAGGCAATGATCCACAAGACAGTAATCATGAACATTTACCTACCACGAGTGCGGTGCCTGACACGCCCATCTCATGAACGTACGGAGACATTGTACCCCCAATACTTCCATTTGCTAATAGTTTCGGGATCAAAATTGATATAACACATAAAATGCATCCCTTTTCATGGATTAAAATTTTTTCTGGATGACGACTTGGTAAATCACATCACAACTGAAACCAATCGCTATGCTCACCAGCACTTCAACGCACATGAGTTAGCTCCTCACTCTCGAAAACACAATTACAATTATGTCACATNGCGCGCTTCCACTAGCGGAGTTTAAATGCCTGACTGGCACAAACGGGGCACTTCGGCACTTAAAGGTTAAAATAAAATTGGCACTTTATAACTTTTAAGTTAGGGTAACTCAATAAAGTCACCAGCTTCAGGCTGGACAGACCAAATCTGGTTACAACCCAGCCTCCTATCCAGTGGATACCAAGAATTTTCCTTAAGGGCAAGGTGACATGAACATGCATGACTTGCTTGCATTGAGGAAAGATGCAAGTGCATGGTAGGCATGTCTCTTTTTCTAAAGTCAACTCATTACACGTAATTTTATGTTCCTAAAAATTCCTCTAGCTTCATGTCTTACACGGCTCATCATTGCAACAAATATCTGTAAAGAGTTCTGTCTTCTGGGATATAACACCATGTAATCCATTGAAGGTTAACCAGTGCTACCTGTTTCATGCTGGTTTCTTCCTTGGTTTATTATTTAGCTCTGAAGGTGGAGGGGACATGCTCCCCCAAAATACTGGCAGACTGCATAGCATTATATCCGAGAAGATAGCACTCTTCAGTATTCATAAGGATGACTGTCTTTTCAGACATGATGCCATGGTAGAAGGTTGCTAGCGTTTCAGAGGCAGATCTGAAACAGTGGTAACATTCTGCATCACATCCCAGAAGACAGTCATCTTCATTCAGATCTCACAAATATCCATATCCATGGAAGAAGGAAACTTCCTTTGAATTATCTCACCAATGATATTACAGGAATCGTGTTCGTCAGATGAAGAATGCTACATACCTATCGAAGAAGTTCAGGAATTCAAGGCTAGGATGCTTCACGTCATGGAGAAGCGTCAAGAGTTAAGGCAGACTCTAAGAAAGAGATTTGATGAATTGTGCGTAAATCCTCCACAGCCTCGAGCTCATCACTCTGCTCACTGTGCCTCCAACTAGTTGTGTCTGTTACATCAATAAGACTCCTTTACATTTTCAAATGGGAGTGGAAGGAAATGGTTGATTTGATTTTGAAGAGTCTAAAATGTTGAAATCTCTTAAATTTACTTAGAAAGGGAAATTATAATATGTTTATGAATCAGAGAAGGAAAATGTAAAATGATACTGTACTGCAAAAACATGACTGCATGGTTGCTGTTGCATAGTACTTGTACATGCTGTTAGATTAATATGGGACTGTTTTCTTTATTTGTATGTTTTGTTCTGAGGTTTTGAATGGTGCTAGTAGCTCTAATACCCAGTAAGACGGGATGGATTCCATACAACCCCAATTCTCTCTGCTAACCATTTTGTCATCCTGTGTTACATTCCTCATTCATGTTCCAGTGTTTATTGAATAATTGCAAGTATACCTTCTGCTGGTATGTCAAGCTGTTGTATTTGAATTGTTTCAGTGTGCAGAGAACTTCTTAAATTCTGCTTGTGGGATGTGTCAAAACATTGTCAGGATTTCAGCAGTTCTTTTCTGATTTTGATTTTTGTGTTTAGAATAGCGCAACACTATTAGACATAACATTGTCAACAAATCTGCTTCTTTTTCAGAACTGTGTATTACAGAAGATGTGGTTCTAACCATTTGATTTTTTTTTTTTTTTTTTTTTTTTTTTTTTTTTTTTATTGCATTATACAACTATTAGACATGTTTTGTTCCATGTGAAGAGTAGTGACTGCCTCAGCGTATATGAAGAATGGATTTGAAAGTATGTTTTCATGTTGTCAATATGCAAGTATAGTTGAAAGATGGTGATACAATTCGTGCACTAGCAACAGAATATGTCTATATTTTTGTTATGCAATTTACAATAAATATACCACTGTCTGAAATTACAGAATTCAGAATGTAGTTGTAGTGCAGATAAGGGTTTGTAACAGCATACATAAGAACCAGTCCATTCAGAGTAGGACCAATAAGAATTGAAGGGTTTTTGCTTTTAAAAGTGTATATTTTAAGTTTCATTTTGTGATGAGAATTTGTATTGATGTTCCAAAGACTTAGGTTCATTGGAAGAATGGTTAAATGGCTATTATTGTTTGTTGAATACTAAACCTCCTACTTGCATTCCAAATTGTTATTAATATTGTAGTCCGTTAAATAACTGTTGTTCTTAATAAGACAGGAAGTGTTTGTAGTGGAAAATATTTAGGCAGGTTTCATGTTTGCTTCAAGAAAACTAGAACTTTGGGTTACAGTTTTGATTACTTATGCTTATGTTGATGGAGATTTGGGAATGGAGAAATGTTTACAAAAAAAGGCAGAACAATCTGAGATGGATTAGAAGTACAGTACAGACTGTAAGGTGGTCATCAGCTTGTGAATAATTTATAGATGTGATACAGCAGGAACCCCATTCCAGAAGCTGTTAGTGTAAAAATGGCCCATTTGATATTGTGTAAATTAAGACTTTGTTCAAGTTGGTTACATAGTTACATTACTGTATAATGTTAATAAAACAGAGTTGTAACATTTGTGTTACATTGTGATGTTATGATCCTAGCCTGAAAATGGTGATGGTACAAATTAAAATAAATTATATATATACATATTAAAATTACTTTTCCTTGTATTCTGATATACAAATAGATGCATTTGTTCCACCAAATCCAAATGCATTTTTAAGTGCAACCCTCCTGGTACACTCGACCCATTCCTGTTTTTCATTAGGCACATAGTTCAAATTCATCAATTCATCAGGATTATCCATATTAATTGTAGGCGGAAGCCATGCTTTGTAACATGCCATGACTGTGAACACAGCTTCCAGATTGCCAGCTGCACCCAGTAAATGTCCATGAGCACCTTTTGTAGAAGAAACTGCTAACTTATTGGAATGTGGTCCAAACAATTTTTTGATGGCTCTTGATTCTATTGCATCACCAACTGGAGTTGATGTCGCATGTGCATTGATGTAACCAATATCATGAGGCTGGAGTTTGGCATCTTTTAAAGCTCTAGTCATAGCAAGAATAGCTCCTGTTCCATCTTCCTTTGGGGCTGTCAGATGATATGCATCTCCAGATAATCCATACCCCAATATTTCAGCATAAATATTGACATCCCTTGACTTTGCATGGTTAAGTTCTTCTAGCACTAACATGGCCGAACCTTCGCCCATAACAAAACCATCACGGTCTTTATCAAATGGTCTTGATGCTTTCTCAGGGGTTTTGTTGTAGGACGTACTAAGTGCTCTTAGTCTGCAGAATCCTGCTATGGAGAGAGGACTAATGCATGCTTCTGCTCCTCCACATACCATTACATCTGCGTCTCCACGCTGCACAAACCTGAACGCATCGCCTATTGCATGAGCTCCTGTAGCACAAGCAGTTGATACAGTATGATTTGGACCTCGGAAACCATGTCTGATGCTGATCTGTCCTGCTGCCATGTTGGGCAAAATACGAGGAACAAAGAAAGGACTCACTCGGTTGTATCCTTTTTTCAATGCCTCAGCAGTTTCACACACATCTACAAGGTCAATCATCCCCATTCCGACAGCTACGCCAGTCATCTGCTTCAATTCCTCTCCTTCAGGAAACCATTTAGCATCTTCTAATGCTTCCTGTGCTGCAATAATAGAATATGCTGTAGCTGGCGCCATTGCTCGAAGTTCACTTTTTGAAAAATAATTGGTAACATCAAATTTTCCACCATCTTTCCCATCCTGAACGAGTCCAGCTATCTGGCAAGGAAGATTATTATAATGTTCATCTTCAAGTCTTGTAATGCCACAACCTCCTTGCAATATTGTACTCCATGCCTTGCGTACATTGCAACCAACTGGTGATATAACGCCCAAACCAGTCACCACCACTCGACGAGCTTCTAATTCACTGTACGTACTAAAGGACCGGATAAGCACTCTTCTTTTCCATACTGTTTGAAACTGCAATAAGGAAAATAGAAGTTCTCGGTTTATTTATGCCATGGAACAAAGTTTGGGAAGCGCTATTTTGGTACACCCATAATCATAAATCTTAATTTTCATTTGTACAGAGAGTAGGATTTGTTGTTTATGTCTGGTAGACAGAGAACAAAGTTGTTCAGGTGGTATATATGGACAAATACCGTCTTAAGTGCAACAATTTTATTGTAGTTTTTACTTCTTTTCCTCCTCCACACTACATGTTTCGGCCCTAAATGGCCATCATCAGGTGTGTATCACTCACGTAACTGTTACACTGCTTGTTAAAAATGTAAAAATCCCAGTCTTTCTAATTGTATAAAATCTTTGTTAATCTACACGCGTCGATTTGATTTTTAAATTAGCCCTTTTTAAACCTTAATTCAAGTTAAAATGTCTATAAGATCTTTGTTCTCTTTCTTTTTCAAATTAAAATTTTTCAGGGTACATGCCCTATATCTACGGTGCTGCAGCGGCCACTTCTTGTTTTTATCGCTGTTCATGTGTTGTCTGTAATATACAAATATTTGTGTTACTATCTTATGTTATGTCTTGTTATGTTATTCTTATATGTTTATACTGTTATTTGTACTTACTCAGTGTAGGCGCTCTCTGTGTGTGTCGCTGCTTATCTTTNGAAAAAGAAGTAAAAACTACAATAAAATTGTTGCACTTAAGACGGTATTTGTCCATATATATTGTGTGAGTGTAACAGGATGCTGAAATATAATATTGTTCAGGTGGGACCGATGTCTGGATTTGACCTGAACTTCAGATTTTTACAGACCACACTGTTGGTATAACATGTTAATATTTCATACATTATCAATGTAATAAAAGCTTTACAGAGGAGAAAGAGTTGTATGGTTTTCCTACAATAACTCATCAGTAGGAAACACATCTGTACATGTTCTAATTTAATGGAACAAGTTACGCTCTCTGTGAGGGAAGTATGAAAGTGCCTGAAATTCATCAAAGGCTTGAGGCACAGAAGAAGAATCTTGTGTGCCAGGCACGGTGCTTAGTGTCTCTTATGATGCAATCATCCGAGGCAAGTGTATTCACTGTGACCTGTACTGATGGGCTCCTATGGGGTGACAGAAACATACTGATGCATGAATTTGCATCAAAACTTAATATAACTTGGTAATGTTGACATCATATGCCATACTAACAATGACTTTAATGAGTTGGCACAAGATGGTTGTTGCCCAGCTGTCACAGAACCAAAGATGACTAAATTTGAATGTCGGTTGTTTTGAACCAACAGTACCAAATTAAGGAATGACACTTTCAGTCACATATCCTTTGACAAAATATGGGCCAAACACTTCACTCTCAAAAGTAAATCTATCAGTAAATATTTAAAGACAACAAATTCACTTAAACCCAGAATATTCAGTACTGTGGTATCAAAACAGTGATGGCCACTGCATTATTCATGGACTTCTTATGAAAAATTAAATCCATAAAGTTTATGCTCATTACTAGTGTGATCTCATGAAGCACCTATCAAACCAGCTGTACAGAAGAAGCAATCAAGTATTCTCTTGGAAGGTGTTTGTTTTCTGTACAAAACCATAATCTGTATAAAGCTAACCTGACAACCAAGTAAGTAATGGCCATTCTGATGTTCTGGTGCCAGATGGAAAAGAGGGGTTACATATTTTTCACAAAATTTGCTTCTTATGCGTAAACATTTCCAAAACATTTCATCTTGACAGAAGAAGCATACTGTTATCTTATAAAGTTTAGCATCTTATAGCTATAGCTACCTTTCCAAAACTTCTGAAGTTACTAAGGTTAGGTATTTCTGTTAAACTTTGTTTTTAACAATTACCCATTGAAATTTTAACGAGTTATATGCTAGTGTATTATCTTTACATAATACTTTTTTTTTCATTTTATACGTTACATACTATTTCTAACATTATAAGAATGGAACACATAAGGCAAATCCTTAATCTCACAGCTGATAAATAACATTATCAAATGCTACCAGGACTTCTACATTTTAAGCAATGCCTGCTTAACTTTAAATATAAATGTTTACATACTACTTAATATTATGCAGCAAACACTGTCAAGCAGTTAGCATATGCTTCATATTCATGGGGTTCCTTAGTTAAGATCTTGCCCAAAAATATTGGCTGCCTTGACTTAGGTTTTTCACGATTTATTATTATTATTAATTTATTTTAACTGCAAATGGGTTTTTATTCGGTGGCAGTGATACTCTCTCTGAGTAAAATTCTGGGATAGTATCTTACAACCAGCCACACCTGTTTCCCTTTATTTTATCTGTTATTTGCCATGTCATGTAGTCATGCGCCTATTTGTTACTGTTCAACCTACAGTTTTAAATAGGTACTACATAAACTAAGCGTTAATTAAGAAAGCGCATTCTGACATTTATATTTCCACGGCGGGTTAATTTGATTTCGTCATTACATAAGTCTAGTAGGAGGGTAGGTGGTGGTTCTTTTAGTTGTCAGTGATGGATTATAAGAAAATGTTCCAGGCACGTATTTTGCTTACGTGTATATTTGAAATACTTCCCTGCCGCTCATTAAATAACGCTTACATTACCAGAACTATCAGTTTCTTACAACTTGTACACATTTTCTTCCTCTTGTGAACAAATTCTGGATCCGGTAAGGAATTGGGTTATGTTAAAACAAAGATTTTGTATTACATTAGATTGAACGTGAACACTGGATCAAGGAATTAGGTTATGTTAATACAACAATTTTGCATTACATTAGTTTGAACCAGAACACTAACACCAGACTTTGCAAAGAGCTTAAACTTGCCATCATAATTATTTCCATTTACTATTGTAATTGCATGAATTACTACTTGTGTTACACTGTTAAATATTTTACACATTACAGAACAAAAATCACATAACCACAACGCATCATCTCTCCAGCCTTGGAAGTATTCCATTCGACCAGTGTGCGGCAACACGCTTCTTGCAATGGAAGGCAAAATTAATAAACTTAGGTTTCAAGAGTGATCCGTAGGAAGTCAGTTTCTTTAACTGCAGTTGCCCTGCACGTCAAATATCGTATCTCGTGTGAACGTGATATATCTTGATTAAAAAAATTGTCCTTAATTAAAAACTGCTGTCAACTTCATACAAAATCTGACATGCTCCGTTGCCTGGAAATTGAATTTCTCAGTCTCCCCACAAGTTGCGTTTCCGTTTCCTCAATTTGCGCTGCCCCATTTACTAACATGTTCATGGGTCCCGTGTAGTAGCTTTACGGCACGTAAAAGAACCTCATATCTCCAAAGGAGGTCACTGAGCCAAATTAACGGACGTTTCCCGCCCAACAGCAGTCTCTAATACCTCTGGTAGATGGGGGAAGCATTATAGATACCTCTCAGTTAGTAGAGCCGGTCTCGCTGGCTGGGCGGGTCTGATGGTAAGCACCAGTACCGGTAGGCTATAGAGACTGGTAGAAATCATAGAGGGAAGCGCAATATATTCCTTATGTGGTCCGTGCCGAGCAGCGAACACTATTCAGGACGAGTATTGAGTTAAGAGAGAGTTACTAGCATGGAGAGAGTGAGTGAGTATTCAGTATAAGTTGGAGTCTGAAGAGTAATAAAGTAACGTCGCAAGAATACTCCTCGAGGTCTTATTTCACGACAGCGTGCTTGAAATCGGCGACATTTCGCGGAAATTGCGGTTGCGTTGCGGTTGCCACTTTCCTTTGTGTGCCCTCGCCCACAGAGATCTCGATAACATTAGTTGAAAGTGCAGACTTCGATTGTTACAACATGGAAGTTGTAAATAGAATAATGTGCAGGACGTCAGGGATTTATGGGCTTTTATCGGCAAACTGTTCTCGCCACTGGTGAGTTGCCTCAAATATTTATTTGAAAATGTGATGTTTTCTGAATGTAAAGCTATATCGTGATGATGGACCAAGTTTAATGCAGGCATTTTCAAATTGAATGACAACTGTTAGAAGAAACATTTGGAAAACGTAGTTCCTTTTTTAAATAATGTGATATATTTTCAGGAGTAGTACTGTGTCTTGTACAGTGTTCAGTCGTGAGGGTGACAGTGGATATTCAGTGACAAGTTCAGGAGAAAAAAGACCTAAAGATGACAGAATATTCAATGCAGTTGGTGCGACAGATGAACTGTCGTCCTATATTGGGTAAGTAGATGATTTGAAACTTGTGAGGAACGAAACAAAAATCTTAGTAAATGTAATTAATAAAACTGCAGCAACTGGCTTGATAATATGAAATATCACATGAAGAGTTTTTAACCTTATTTTACGCCATAACTTTCGTTTTTATAATAAGTTTACAGTTCATTGTATTTTTATACCATGTATTCTATAATGTAATAAGTATCAAGTATCCAGCTTCACTATCGCAATTGCAGTTCAGTAGTGTGTGTTATGGTAATCATGTGTTTGCCTGATGATGGCTTTAATAGCCGAAACATTTAGCTAAGCTAATTTTAGCCTTGACCATTGTATTATTTTGTTGCGACGGACTCTAATAAAAGAATAAAGAAATAAAAATTATCCTTTAAGAAAACAAAATAAAATATCAATAAAGGAAGGGATGAGCGACGTGTCTTTTGAATAAGCCATAATGATATAAGTAAATATGGATGATCAATGGACCATGATGTCCCTAGGGTATGAAATTAAAATCTTAAGTTAACACATTATCGTTTTAAGTAATTTCTGACATGTATTTGTAGGTGTGCCTGGTTTCAAGCACTTGTGCAAACAATATTTCATCTGTATAAGTTTTGAGGTTTTCACAGCGATGACTATGAAGAAAGTCGTCTTCTGGGTTTAGGCGCCATGTATTCTTCGTTTTGGCCGACGTTTCGGAGGAACATATCGCCTCCATCTTCAGAGCAGTTGAATGGCTTGGAATGCAGAGAGCAGTAGCTGTAGTGATAGGAAGTGAAAGGCGCTGCTTATATACGAAGTAGGCAGGGGGGGGTGGTTAGGGAGAACAGACCAATAGGAGCAGTGGAGAGCTATCTGTACTTTGTTGATTGATTGATTGATTGATTAATTTATTTCGTCACTGTAGATCATTGTACATGATATATGACAAGTCACGTTAATTCTGACTGTTAACAATTTGATATATAAGTAGATTAAAATTACAATAGTTACAATTTTTTACATTCTTATTTGTGGAGAATTTGATGGAATGAACATTTGTATGTAAACTAACATTAGTGTTACATCTTCAGATGGCAAAATTTATTAATACTGCTGATTATCTCACTGCAGTCTTAGCTCAGATGATTATGAAATCACCCTCTGAGCATTATCTCCCCTCTCTTTCATCCTTTTAAATCATTTACATTCTTGACAAAGACTATAGAAAGCTAAACAGAACTGTAGCAACTCAACCTTGTTTTAATTTGATTGCATGTGATGTCATACTGAAGCATCAGAAATTATACTTTACTAAGTGGTGAAGGAAACAAAATCACATGTAGCTGTAGTGGTTTACTGAAGCTCCACAGATACTGAAATGTACTGGCATGATTTGGGTGAAGTTGGGTTAGGTTAGTTTAGTTTATTTTAAATTGATATTAACTAATTTCACCTGTAAGTAATACAGAACAGTTAACATTCCACAAAATCTCAGTACTTGTTTTGTTGTTTCCATGAACAACTTTTATTTGTGCATCCACTCTGTTACTTCATCCATTATGGAAGAAGGATAGAACAGGTATCATGGCATCTTCTATAGAAATGTAGAGAACCATTTTTATATGGTCATTTCAGAGCTATACAGTTTTTTAATATGAGTGATGTATTGCTGATAGCAATATAAAGATAAAGGTAAATTTGACCCTGTGCTTAATTAAGCACCACACCATGAAGGTAGATGGGAGTGGAGGTATATCTCCACCATTCTTGACCTTAGTGATCAGCTTCATGCCCCTAGACTCTTTACCCCTCAAATGCTGGGTGGGCCCTGAAACTGGCCAAGATGCTGTGGAGAAGAGAAGAATCTCTTGCCCCTGATAGGAGTCAAACACAAGTTCCTCTACCATCCAGACTGCAGCCTGTAGCTGTATTGACTAAAAATTATTCAATTAAATCAGTAATGCCAGTACAGAATACTGCCTTTATTTAATGTTGCTGTATTGACTAAAGATGTCTCGTGTTGTATAGGATGTGAGAAGAGGCAGGTTGGCCTATTGAAAGTCTTTGCTTTACTGTAGAAAACATGAAACCCCTCAAGGGTTTGCCACCATTTTAACTGGGTACTTTAATATGGAGCTGTGATAACCTACTAAGTGTAGTGACTCGGTTTTGGGCTGGATGACCAAGAATCAAGGTAGTGTAATTGGTCAAGGCACTATGCTACAGGCCGGAAAGTCGTGACTTCCAAGTCCCTGTGAGGTGAATTTTTTCAGTTTACCTAATACTTCAAGGCACACTATGGCCTCTAACAGAAATGAGTACTAGGAATCTTCCTGGCTGGTAGAGAGCGGGCAAGGCATAAGGCCAACGACCTGACTGCTATCTGTGAGCCGAATGTCTAGATAAAATGTGGGAGCCTTGATATCCCACAACCCTATGGGCCTTTAAAGCCTGTTACAGGGATATATTTTTTTATGAGCAAGAGGTTTTTTTTCTTCATAGTATTTGGATCAGCTCTGGGCCCCATCCAGTCTCATGTCCACTGGGTACCAGGGGCTCTTTCCCATCAGTTGGGGTGTGAACGTGACCACTCACCTTCATCTAGTACCAAGATTGAGGATGCTGAAATGATAGCTCCACTGCCTCATATCTCTAAGCACAGGCACAACTTTAACTTATAGCAGTGGTGTACAGTGTTATGAAACTGGGGGTCTTCATTTATATTTATATGTTCTGTTATCTGAGTTCTTCACTTTACACTGTATTCAAAACACTCATCTTTTATCATTGTGGCACTTTAATTTTACTGTTTGTAAAACACAGTCTGTTGATATATACTACTGTGAGTCTAAGATTCTAATTTTTCCATGTTTTAGGCTTGCACGTGAATTTGCCAAGGATGGAGAACACACATACACCGATAAGCTAAAAAGAATTCAGTGCATCCTTGTGGATATAAGTGCATTAATTCTGAAATCCTCTAAACCAGAACAACATGTATGCCTCTCTACTAGACATACAAAGGAACTGGAAGATTGGATTGAAGAGTATTCTTGTCAACTACCACCCCTTGAAAAATATGTCATTCCTGTATGTTTAGTCAATTGAAATTATAATTTATGATCATTCTCCTCAGTGTTGTTTATGAGTTGTTTTAGGGTGGAGTGGTAGCTCTCAGGATGCTTAACCAGTCAAGTGGTTCTCTTCTGTGTTGTCTCTCTCACAGTGGCACATTAAATTCCCCCAGACATTTAAATTTGTCCATTATATGTATACAGTGACCATCTTGTAGTGCACTCAATTTCACCTGTCACTTCACAACATGTTTCGGCAACATAGTGCCATCATCAGGTGTCCCAATTACGTCAGTCTATTGCATTGCTTGCCCTCATATGTTTTCACAACACCATTTAAAAAGTATTTAAAAAGTCCGTATTTGTCAACTATGATAAATTTACACTCGCTAAAACTTGTTAAGATAATTCATCTTATTTGTCTTAATTAAAACTTGCACGTGGTTCATTCACTACGGGGTCGTTTTTCTTATTTTCTGTGCAAACCGCGTCTTGTGATGTGTGTTCCCTTCTTAGCTGCGAGTGTTGTAATCACTCGCAACACGCAAGATTACATGTATACCTGAGTCATGCACTTTCAGTATATGCATTCTTGACAGGTGCCTGGTGTTCAGAAGTGACACACAGTCGTAACAGTCAGCTGACAAATCTGTCTAGTGACACTGTGTATACCTTAATGATAAATGTCACTAATAAGTTGATACCACCGGAAACATTACTGCAACTCGAGTAGCAGATACTGTGAACTCTTTATAATTATGTAGTTTTCAGTACCCTCCCAGCGACTGGTCTTGGATTTTAGTTTTAGATTAGGCATGTTTTCTAACAATTTTTGGGCATACCTATTTGTTTCTCTGGATATTACTTCTGCAAAGTCTGGCATACAAAACAACTCAAAATATTCCAGGGGGTTACTGGGGTTTTCTAAATAAACATTTATGCCAGGCTTGCCAGGAAGTGGAAATGTTGCTCAACACCTGAGTTGCATGCTATTGCTGTTGCTGACATTTTCTTCACCACATGACAAAATGTTCACATTTACAAGGTGGTTCAAATATGACCGGGACTGATTTTCTTTTTAAACCATAATTGCCAAACACTTACTTGCACATGTCAGTCTCTGGAGTCAACACATTTTTTCCAACATTCTGGAAGCATCCTGATGCCCTTTTCAAAAACTGCTTGTGGTTGGTGGTGTATCCACTCCCGAACAGGCTGGATGATGGCATCGTCCACAAACCGCATGCCTTGCAAGTCTGATTTGAGCCTTCCAGACAGGTAGATATCACTTGGGGCCAAATTGGGACTGTACGGCGGATGTGTCAGAAGGTTCCATTTCAATTTCTGGAGGGTTTCCAATGTTGTTTTGGCCATATGGGGGCATGCATTGTCTTGAAGGAAGGCTACCCACTTTCCACCTGTCTTCCGCTTGGATCAGATCTTTTCCTTCACGTCTGTTGCCAGGAGGTCTGAGTAATAAGCTGCATTGACTGTTCTGGCATCTGTCAGAAAGTCTACATGGATACCCCCCTGCCAGTCCCAGAAGAACGTTCCTGCCGAACGGCTCCTCCACGCTCTCTGGAGTTTGGGAGCACTGGTATGCCGCCACTTGCGTGATGACTGCTGGGACTCGGGAATGAAGTAGTGCACCCACGTTCTATTGGTAGTCACTATAGACTTAAAAATGCATCACCTTCATCTTCAGACTGCTGTAGGAGATGACTGGCAGCTTGCATGCACACCATTTTGTTCACTTCCGTCAAAGTGTGTGGTACCCACCGTGCATTCACCTTGCGATAGTGCAGGTGGTATTTCACGATGTCTTCTACACTATCAACACTGATGGACAGCATTTCTCCAAGTTCCTTGATAGTGATGCGCCTATTCTCACGAATAAGCGCGTCTGCATGATCAGTGTTTGGCTCGGTGATGGACGTTCGTGGCCGACGATCATGCGGTTCATTCTCCACGCGCTCTCTGCCCTCTATGAAGACTTACACCACTCAAACATACGAGTCCGTGAGAGACACTCTTCCCCATACTGTTGCTGGAGTCTGTGGTGAATTTCAGCAGACGGTACATTTTCTCCAATGAGGAATTTGATCACAATGCGTTGTTCCATGCTCCGCGGTACCTTCTGTTCGCTCATCACTCTAGCAACTCCCAGACAGGACTGAACAGGTTCTAACCCGAACAGGAGGGAGGGTAGAGGTTGTGGCTTCACTCTCTCAAGGTCGCACAGCTGCTGCGCAATGTGGCTTCTTTACACACAAATCAGTCCCGGTCATATTTGAACCACCTTGTATTTCACTATCACTACTATATTCACTCTCTGAAATATCACTGTATTCATTCTCTTGTCAACAGTTCACATAACACCTCCTCATCACTTACACACATCTTCTTGCTAGGACATGCCATAATGTTAATTGAAAGAACTGGAACCCAGGACATCTGTCAAGCTATCAATAACTCCTTGTCACACTCTGAAGTAGCTAGCACAACATACAAGTTTCCATTGCTGAAGTGGCATTATGTCTACAACAGAGTAGTTAGAAACATGTGACATCTATATATGTCATTGCCACTAGGATACACAGTACTGCATGACGTCTATAGACATCATAACCACTTGACTGGTTAACAGACAACAGCACTCAGGGGTGGGGTGAGCAAGACTGCGGTGGTTGGACAGATGGGCATAAATGTTGGGTTAGAGGTCCTATTATGGACTTTCGTTGACTTCATCATGAGACAAATATGGGATCTACAGTACGGATGACTGTATCTTCACTACATGATGTTCTCACACAAGTATTACACCACCTAATGCCAACTGTAACTTCCTTTGCTCTTCTTTCATGAGTGACTAACTGGGTAATTGTCTCACTGTTACATGCTTACCATTTGTATTAAATTAGTAACGCAGCATGCCACTTCTGAATAATTAACTTCTTGTTAGTTCTCACTGAACGAAATGTTGCTTACTGATTTCAGCAGCTGCTTTTCAAAATTACCGACTGTCAAGTAGGTATTGCTGAATGACTTATGAGTAGTGCGTTTTCAATCAGCTGCCAACCAGTAGTTGCTGAATCTTGCCAGTCTTCATCACCAACAATGTTATAAAACCTTTGATATCTCTGCCCCATTACAACACCACCATGTGGAGGTGGGTTCAAATACCTCCACCATAACCCTGCAAATCGAAGGAGGCAACGAAAAGGGAACCCAGTGCCTGGGGTATAACTGCGCCACCCTTTTCCTGGGAGATATAAATATGGGGACCTGGCCCTCCAGTTTTTTTAGGGGGGCACACAGTAGCATAGTTGGTTGAGGCACTATGTGACAAGCCGGAAGGTCACGGGTTCAAATCCTGATGAGGCCACTGCAATTTTTAAGGTTACCTAATCCTTCCAGCTGCACTATGGCCCTGGGGTCAACTCAGCCTATAACAGAAATGAGTTCCAGGAATCTTCCTGGGGATAAAGGGCAGCCAGCGCATAAGGCTGACAACATCACCACTAACTGTGAGCCGACTGTCTAGAAAATGTGGAAGCCTCAACATCCTGTTAGAGAAATAGCTTTACCTTTTACTTAATCCCATTACAACAAAGATGTAACATGCTTGGAAATTAGGCATGGAGGCCCTGCACTAGGTGTAGAACTTAATTTTAATATTTAAAATAAAGTAAGTTTTAACTGTGATTGGTAGAGGTAAAAGAATTTTCATAGTGTCATGGGCATGTGGGTCAAGTAGTTCCCTCACTTCATAGCAGTTCAGACTGCACACCTGCAAAACTTCATACAATAACAGAAGATCCAAACTTTTCAGTTATTTTATAGCTTATATGGAATCTAAGGAATCAAGCTGGTAACCCAGGATACTTTTAAGACATCATGGTTTTCATCAGTTTTCATTACTAATATGGATGACTCCTAGTCAGTAGTGAATGGCTTAATAATCAGTTGTAATATTAAGCAGTTATTTTAGCTGGATGAGTAGCTGTTTATGCCAGATGTTATGCATTTCTGATATAACTGTTAATCATCCATCATAATGAAGTTCCATTCAATCTAATGACTCAGTGTAAAATCAAAATGTACTGCATGTTTCAGGGAGGAGGTAAAGCATGTACATCACTGCATGTAGCTCGAACAATATGTCGACGAGCTGAAAGACGTGTGGTGACACTTGTAAGGAATGGGGAAGTTGATAAAGAAGCCCAGGTGTACCTCAACAGGTTAGTTTTGTTATATCTGTTTTATGCTTCTGTACTGACCACCTCTGTGGTCTAGTGGTCAGAGTTCCTGGCTACAGATCCAGAGGTCCGGGTTATATTCCCGGCACTACCAGATTTTCTGAGGAGCAGTGGGTCTGGAACAGCGTCCACTCAGCCTCATGAGGATAATTGAGGAGCTGTTTCAATGAAATAGCGGCTCCAGTCTAGAAAACCGAAATTAACGGCCATGGGGATTTGTTGCGCTGACCATGTGACCCCCTCTATCTGCTAAAGTTGGCATGAACTTCGCCGACAAATGGCAGTCACTTGGTCGGTATAGTTTGCTTGCAGACTAAAACTATGGAGTTTAATGATTCTGTACTGCGTCTACAGATTATATATTATATATGGTATGATAATTAGATATAACAACTTTTAAAGTTTATGGACTCCTGAGACGCAGTGCCATAGTAGATAGGTACCAACAGTTTGAAAGAACCTGGTACCTCCTTCATCCCTACTTCCCTTCTTCCACTCTGAAGATGGAGGTATGAGGTTCCTGCAAAATGTTAGTACGTTCATACCAAACTACATAGCATCATATCCTAGAAGACTGTAATCTTCATATTCACTGCTATGAGAACCTCATATCTGACAATGATTCGAGAGAAGTTGAAAGTAAGTGGGGTAAAGGGACTAAGGGAAACCAAGAAAACCCTTAATAAGGCTGTCTAATTTCTGTCTGGGAATTAAACCATATATAGTTTGTGATGTGTAGTAATTGAGATGAGGTTGAACCACTTGTTCTTATGTAACATATTCCATTCCAGGCTCTCGGATTTCTTGTTAACGATATCAAGATTTGCATGCAAGACTGATAAGAAAAATGAATCTATCTACATACCAAAACCTGATGAAGAGTTCGTGTCAAAAATGTGAGAATGGCTTCTTATAATGTGTAGCAAATTTAGTGAATGGTGTATTCACAGGTTCCAGTGTGTTAATATGTACATATTATTTTGTGACAAAGACAAGGGTTTTATAGGCACAGATCATGTGTTGTACTTATTATGAATTATGCAAAGAAAAATAACCAAAAACATGTACAGTATTTATTCACTGTGAAATAATTATTGTGCAGAATATTATTCATGTTTCTAATAATTTAAATCTTAATTAAACTGCCGTTAAACATAACTTCTTCTTTTTTTCGGTTTCTTATTCCAATATCTCTTCACCTTCTGTTACCTCTTTAAGGTTCATCAGCTCCAAGAGTCCATGTCCTTTAGTTTCTGTACGTACAATTTCATCTACTTCACGATAATGTCCAGGGTCTATCAAACAAACCTGTAACAATATTAGTATATGGATTTAAATGTGTGTGTGTGTGTATATATATATATATATACATATATGTGGGTTACTTCAAAAGTCATGGCAACTAATTTTTTGGGGGCAAACATGTTATAGTGAAGAAAGTTCAAAATATCCTTATGAAAGGGAATGACATACCCCTCCAATTGGCTTAGTCAGATCAGGTACATGTGAAGGGGTGTAGGTATAGTAGGCAAGAAAAATTGCACATTACGGAATGACTTTTTTTTCATTCTTTAATCCTCAAAAATTCAATTGTGATTAAGAAATAAAAAATTCAGTATTTCATCGATGGAAATTATCCGATTCAAGAAACTGTCTCCTTCAATTTCATATTGTTTGAGGTTCACACGACTTGCTTCATAACGTGTCCACTTTTGAACCTCATTTAATTCGTGTGGCACCCACTTCGCTGCAATCTTGCGCATGTGTAGGTCTTTTCATAAAATTCCATGCACAGTTGCCTGGTCAATCCCTGTGTGTCTCTCTAACCAGCGCCTATCTTCTTCCATGCACTGAGCGATAACAGCATGAGAAACATTGGTACGAACGGACACAGGGCATCCACTACATTGCAAGTTGGCACTTGCTTCTATCCACCTTGCAACAGTTCTGTATGGTAGAGCACGATCACCCAGAGCTTCCACAAGCTCTGAGTGACATTAAGTCACATTTCTGCTACGAAGCACTGCTATTTTCACGTAAGAACACTGTTTCAGCCGGCTAACGTTCATTCTCAACGAAGGTTATGATCACACTGACTTCGCGCTGGACTCACTTCGTTGTCCTTCGACTTCCGCATCATCTAGCGGCATCATTAGAAATCAGGCGTTGCTGTCTCTCAGCGGCAAATTTGGAAATTCTGGTTGGAGCTTTCAAAATTTCGGGAATATTATGTTGCCATGACTTTTGAAGTAACCCACGTATATATACAGGGTGATTCATATAGAACCGGCCCGACTAAATGAGGTGTAATATGAAATATACCATACAGATATTAAAGTAATTTACACATATCTTATCTTGGATTGTGTGCCGTGATAAAAGCAGGTGTTGAAAGTGTCCACTGTTTTCAAGTAGGCATTAGAAACACTCGCTGTTCAACAGTGTACTCCATGACTGTCGCCTGCCAACTGCAGAAACGTTTCGGCATTGTCCTTGACCTTGCAGCATAAGGGCTGCCACTTGCCGGATCATGCGCACACCATTCAACTCAGCACGGCCCAGATTATTATGTTGTAATTGTGAGTGGTTATATGCATCACCTGCGGAATTATTAGCAAATTGATCGGGCCAGTTCTATACTATTCACTCTGTATAATATATAAGCTCTCTCTTCTTTCCTGTTGCTCCCACTTTGGAGCGTAGGGCATCCATAAAATGCTTTGTTTCACTTCAGTTTCTTAATTCTAAGACAGTCGGTATGACTCCTTTGACAGGGGATCAGCCTGTCTCAAGGCAACTACCTACACAAACACAGAATATGTGCAGACATACATCCATGCCTTGAGTGGGATTCGAACCAATGGTCTCAGTGTTCAAGCAGGCGAAGAGAGTTCATGCTGTAGACTGCATGGCCACTGTGATCGACCATATATGTAATATATGCATATACGTAAATTAGATACCCCAAAAAAGTAAAGGAATACTCCAACTAATATTTTGTCTTGTCAAAACACTAGTACTGTGACACTCTGCATTCTGAATGGATTCTAATTTCAGGTAGGCAGGAGTAAGAGATCAGAATGGTTTGCAATATAAGTTCCTCATATTCAATGTAATTTTTGTTTGATACACAACAGAAATTAATAACAAATTCCCAAATTCTACTTCATAATTTTGATGACAAGCTAAAATTTCTTTTTAGCTTCATTTATAGTTGTACATGAATCTCAATTAATGCATGGTTATTTACCAATTTACATGTAGAATATACCAGGCACAGATTGAACATTTACAGAAGAACTAAATGACATAGATAAAACTTTCCTTTCCTTAATATCTAACTAGTTAAGCTTTGATCTTCGTGTTTCCCGCTTACAAGCTGTATACCAGCAAAAGTACTGTAACTGTACAGATTCGACAGTATTCAAACGAGATCTCCTATCCCGCAAACTTGATGCAGTTTACAACACTAGATAGTTGCTCAGTTATAATACCGCTAATTTTTGGCAAACCAGAAAACCATTATTATACACCAAAACTAATAATGATTTCTAAATTTCCTAGATGTCCATGATATGTATGCAGTGTCCATGTCCTAGATGTATATACAAAGACTTTCAGCAGATCTTCACTAGTGTACTGTATCATTATGGAGTTAATGAGTATAAAATTAATGACAGTATTTCTATCCTATTGCTATAATTGAGTTTTCTGTCTTTAATTTATATTGTGAATGTTAAAGTTTTAGTGTACATCTTGAATTGATATTCAGATGCCTGTCTGGCCCCATAACACAATATTGCTAAACGCATCCTTTTTCGGACACATGAACATGGCATTTTTGCAAGAAGGGGATTAGCATTTGGGTGGACAACTGTTATTTTTTCTCACTATAGTGATTTCAAAACTTCATGTGGCCCCACCCACGCTAATTCTGTGTGCATGCACAGAGAACACCTTCAGTTTTCCATTTTTCAAATCAACACATTTTTTTAGACCCTTATCATTTAAAATGTATCAAGATTTTAACACTTTATGACATTTTGATAATTATAATCAATTCAATTTCATGGTGTAACTTTTCCAGGATATCTTGTAGTTTCCTGAACAAACAAGTCTGCCACGGGGGCAAATCACGTTTTGTGGCCTCTAATATTGTTACGTGTTCTACCTTCTTCTTGGTTTTCCTGTCTTATCTACCAGATGGATGATGATGTCACATGTTCGCTAGGCAATGCAACAAAAAATTTATGTGGACTGTCGGATTTGTACGAATGTTTATTGGACCGTCACTTTTACACTCACACTTAGTTATTCACAACTTATGTCTTCAGACATTTCCTCTCGCATGACTATTCTCAGTGAAATGTCTTCTGCTCTTGCCGAATATCAATTCTACTCTTGTGAGGTCAAATACAAATTGAACTAGTCTCGTGTCACAATTGGACTCTTATAACTTGCACTCCGACCCAACAGGGAACACCACGTCAAAGGGTTAACCTTGCCTGCTGCTTCACACAATTTGTGTGTAACGGTGGAAAGTCCGCTATTAGAAATTGCTAGCTTTCTAATTCCTAGCTGCTGTCATGGGAACGTTGGTCATTGCCTAGGAAATGAACTCTGATCTTCTCAATCCTTCCAGCTTTCTGGCAGAACGCCACAATATTTATAGGCTTGAAGGGGAATGGCAGTCTGTTGCATCCCTTGCTGATGTATTTTCCATTGTCTCTACATTCTGTGGGGCACGCGGTAGCATTGGTGGTTGAGGCACTATGCTGCAAGCCAGAAGGTCACGGGCTCAATTCCTGATGAAATCACTGGATTTTTCAATTTACCTAATCCTTCCAACTGCACTCTAACAGAAATGAGCACCAGGAGTCTTCCTGAGGTGTAAAGGGCAGCAGCAGCGGATAAGGCTGACAATCTTACTGCCATCTGTGAGCCGATTGTTTAGAGAGAATGTGAGAGCCTCAACATCTCACAACTCTATGGACCTTCACAGCCTGTAACAGGGGATAGCTTTACCTTTTACCTTTCCCTACATTCTGTAATTTTTTCATGTAAAGGGAAGATACACAACTCATTATTCTCATTTCTTAAGTGATTAGTCATAGTTCAACATTTGACAGTTTTTCGGTATTTCATTTCTGCTGCTTGAATTCTGTTTATCTTTCTCTCCCAACATTCAAATTTTGCACTGGGACCACCATAACCTTGGAGAATTTTAAATTCATCTCTTTCCAAGTTTTAACATTTAATATTTAACATGTTTGAATTCATTTATTTTCTTATTTAAATCTTAAATGATTATGAATCTTATTATTCATTGCCGGGATGATGCTAACCTTTAAGAGCCGAGCGACGCCATATGGCGTCATTAAAATAAAGTCAAGTGGACGAATGACGCCATATGTCGTCACGCAGTCCACATGTGCAGCCGGCTTTTTAAAATCTAATTTTAAGTTATAAATTCTTTTTCTACTTACATGATTTTTGGTCACCAGCTTTATAAGTTGTCTCTCTTCCCACCTGTGTCGTCTAACGGACTGTTGGCTTCGTGTGGAAATCTTGGAAACATCCGGAAATCCAGTGTCTGACGTCGCACTTCACGCACTTTGTCCGGACGGTTCTTCGTTTCCCACGCGAAAAGCACACACGACACCTCAATTGCGAAGTAGAGAAGTCGGCCAGTGATGTGGTTTGGCCTCCTATAATTGAGATATCGCCGATAAAACGGCAGGGGTTCGACCCCTGGGCCGTTGATGGCGAGGTGGACCCCTTCCAGCATGTTCCGCACAAGAGCGAGACGAAATTCTCTTTGTGACAACAGGACGTAACTGTTCCGATCCAGGAGACGGAAAAATAGTTTATTTGTCCATTTCCAGGCTCAACGACAGATGATATAACTGTTTGCCACAGTTTGCCCACAGCTCCACCTGAATAATTATTCACACTCCTCTTGCCATGCTGGTGTGGTGGTCCCCAGGTGCCGACGAAGATGATGGTTCTTCATCTACTTCAATTTCTGATTCACTTTCTTCCTCGCAACTCTCAGAGTCATCGGTACAACAGTCTGAATCGGTGTCATTTATAAGATGATTCTCTATTTCAGCGTCTTCCAAATACGAGGCCATGGTGGACAGCTAAACACAACGCTAGCCTTGAACGTTCTGACACTGCTCGGCTATATTTCAAAACAGATTACTTCTTGTTTGGCTATACGAGATAAAAGAGTCAGTGTTTCTGCGAACGCGTAGACATTGCCCACACTCGTTCATAGAGAAAGGAACCTACGAACTGGAGAATGATGAACGAAGCGTAAACATCCGACCTTGTAGCAACACAAGCCATAGTTAGAGCATGATGTCACCAGCAGGCATTCAGACTGCAGAAATGTTTTGTGCAGGAACTGTATGCATTTTTCTGCACAGACGTTCAAAATTGAGGGGAAAAATTTTTTTGACATCAGTGTAAACATTTTTAGAGATTTTAAAATCGGTAAATTACAATAACTGATTCTATATTCTTTCTAGATAAAAGCAGCGTTTATTTCGTTCGTTTATCACAAAAATTGTAGAAATCACAGCATTTTGAGTAACATGATTACAATTTTTATTACTCTACAGTGGCGGGCATTTAAATTAACTCCGTCCCGCTACCACTACCGGAATTTAAATGGCCGTCTCTTAAAGGTTAAAGTGATTTGGAGATTTAACAAAGACTTGATTCTGGAAATCTTCCACATCTAATAAACTGTATGGTGACCTGTGACTGTAAACATAAAACTGAATTAATGCAGTTTAATGTCACATTCTTCTGCATATTTAATTCCTAAGTGTAATTTTCTTACTAGTCTCTTCAACCCATTTTTGTCTTCACCTCTATACACCTGTTCTTTGATATCATCTCTGCTTAAAAACATGCAGGCTTTAAGAAAAGACTCTCAGATATTTTGGGAAACCTAGTGGCGTATATTATATTGCATACATACCATGTTTAGTTGCCCACCATCCCAATCTTCACTTTCAACACTGGTGGCTAGTTTTGCAACCTTGTCGCGGAGTTTTCGAGCATCTTTCCCAGACAGCACTGCACGTATTCTCATCTGAGCTCGCTCCAATGGCATAGTTGATTTCAATAAAGGTATTACATCCAAAGCCTGCATCAGAGGATGTATCAAAAGTACAGTAGCTGTTACTGTTCAAGGGAAAACACGTGGTAAAGTAGCAATAACAGAGAACTCTTTAGCTGCAAAAAAGAATATAATGTGATGTAAAACACAAATGAAAAAGTCATGTTAAATTGTCAGCCTAAGTCAACATTTTATATGAAAATATGAGGGGAAACTTTGAAACTCTTTCAGGAAAAATTTATGAAGTTTCCTATCTTACAAGGGAATGGTCTGATCTGACATGTTGAAACCTGCCCTGATTTTTTTTTTCACTGCAAAAGTACACACAACAAAATCCACCGTCAAAATTTTAGCTGCTAACATGCACTGCAATAATTTTTTTAAAAATTGCTGAACATGGTCAATATTGTAGCCTGCCAGACCCTTGGAGAAATGTCCACCCCGAGCAGAGCAGTACGCAATACGCAACATGGCTTACACAGCCTAGGCTTCCGGTGCATCGGTAGAGAGATAACATGGCACAAATCCCTTGTAATCTGACAAGTACACTTTAGTTTTTCCTTTGATAGTTACTCTGACAGAATTTGTAAGCGATTTACTATCCGGATCCAAGCATACTTACCATTTTATTTTGAGGTACGTGTTAACAGTGTTTATACAACCATATCAATAAGCATATAGGCCTACTAATAGTATTTGTATCTTTGCACAGGTTCTAGAGTTCTACCCTCTACAATAGTGTGGAATCCTATTGACGTTCTCAATCTTGCAAAGATGAAGTATGAAGAACGTGATATGAAACCGGAATCATCGAATTCTCCTGAAGACGTACATACGTGTGATTTGCTGGTTAATTTCTTGGACATTCATTGGAATGATGTTGACATTTCGATAGAAACTGTGGAAACATTAGAAGAAATAGAAAATAACTCTGATGATTCAAGAAGTTTTGATTCGAGTGAGGAAAGTTGTGGCAATAAGAGTACGAGACAAGAATAGCTTCCTAGCCCAAAGAAACAAAAGACTGAAATAGCTTTCAGTGACAAGGAAAAGGCTGTGAAATTTTGGTTAGATGAAGGAGGGAAAAAACGCTTAAAGTTAACCATTGTGCAAAACCGATTCCATTTTGTAAAATCGGAACGTGAAGTGTACAAATGGAAGAAAGAATTACATGAAGAAAGAAACATGCATCAAAATGAAACTCAGAAAAGTTTGAAAGAACAACTATCCAAAAGATTTAGAACCACACGTGAGAGACAGTGTACCGTTACCAAGACCGGGCTCTTCGAATCGCGAATGAGATAAACATTAGTGATTTCCAGGCTTCTTCGACCTGGCTAAGTAGATTTAAGAAATCATACAGAATTGGGAGTCAGAAGATTACAAAATTTATTTCAAGAAAACGTGTAGAGGAGATACCATTAATCACAAATGCTGTAGAGAAATTCGTAGCTGGCATGAAGATGAAGCTTGCTGTTATCCCTGCAAGTCCTGTGTATAAAGCTGATCAGTCAGGTTTCAAAAAAGAACTGCGTGCCAAACGCACGTTATCATTTCGCGGTGAGAAACAGACGGAGTCAGTAGTGCAATCATTCATTCCTATACAGTAATGCCAGTGATAAGTATGAATGGATTACTATTGCCTTATCTTTGTATTTGCCTTCAGGAACCTCAAGGCAAATTGGGACCACAAATTAAAAAGGTGCTGTTTACTTGCAAAAATCTTATAATTGTCGTATCAAAATCTGGCAAAATGGGAAAGAGTAATTTTCAATATTTCATTCGAACCGTCTTCCTACCTGTTGCAGAAAATAATTCATTGCTGTTGTTGGACTCTTGGCATGGACATAATGACACCTCTGTCTTTCAGGAGGACAACCAAAAGACTGCTGATATGAGAATTCCCCCAGGAACAACCAGTGTGATTCAACCACTTGATAAAGAATTTTTTCGACAGTGGAAAGCATCTTCAGAAAATTGTCAGACAATATACTTTCCGATAGCTCTGTGTCATTTCAGGTCTTTCAACAGAACAGTATCCTTAAACTTCAGTCATTTGTACATTACCAGTTTTCATCACCACGTTTTATGAACTTGATAAATTATGCCTGGTATACAGCACAATGTGTAGAACAATGGCCAGGACCATTTCTTACTCCATCCCAATTTTGTCTACAAAAAACTGTTACTCACTGCAAAGTGCCTGAATGCATTAACTTTTCATTCGTTAGGTGTGCTTGGTGTAAAGAAAATGTCTGTTTTCATCACGTCGTAGACACTTCACATTTTTGTGATGACTATAAAGAATGAACAACGAAATGCTTCATTGTGGATACAGACGTATTACAAACGATGTACGTATGTGCACTATGTCCATTATAACAAATTAAATTCTCGAGTAGAGTGATGCATGATCATTCGTCCTTATTACCCAAGGTCAAGCTCGAGCTGTCTCATCACAGCTGTTGTGAGCGCTAGGAGGGGTTGTACAAACCTCTGGTACAAGCGGTTCCGTGTACAGAAAAAATGAGTAACTTCGGCAGTTTTTAAAAAAATACTTGCAGTGCTTATTATCACCTAAAATCCTGACACTGGATTTTGTTGTGTGTACTCTTGCAGTGAAAAAAAAAAATCAGGGCAGGTTTCGACATGTCGGATCAGACCATTCCCTTGTTAGAATAGGAATCACTCTTCATAGACACATATCAAGAACAATAAGGCCACAATTTAAAAAATCAATGTAATGACATTTCATGTATTTTCTCATATACACTTGACGTTATAACTGTCCTCACTGGTCTTGGTTACGCACAGTGCCAACCTGCTCTGTAGTTGGTAGCTGCACTTACTGTTAGGATTTGTTCAAGGGCACCATGCAAGTAAAGTGAATAATGGAGAATGCAAGGACTATACTTTTATGTATGAGCCGGAATAACTCGGCAAACGGATGGACAGCTGAGGAATAGGGTTTTATTCCCAGCAGGGGGAGGAGATTTTCTCTTCACCTAAGCATTGAGACTGACTCTGGGGTCCACCCAGTCTCTGATGGGTTCGAGGGCTTCTTTCCCCAGGGGTAAAGTGACTCAGGCATGAAGCTGACCACACATCTATCTAATACTAAAGTTAAGAATATGTGGAGCTGCATCTCCACTCCCATATATCTTCAAAGTGTAGTGCTTAATTAATTAAGCACAGGGAAAACTTTACCTTTCAGCCTACTTTCCTTACTTTGAAAAAATAAAAGTAGGCTTATGGGATCAGCCTACTGCTTGTGTGTCTGCATATCCCCCACTATCAACTGTTGAATGCCTGAACCAATATTTATGAAACTTGTTATGTATATCATGGCACTGGAGCCCATCTGAAAGGCATGCTTCATAAATCCATCTGTCAATCTGCGTGTATGTGTGTGTATCCCCCTATCGTTGCTAAGCAATGGCACAGTAAAAACGTTACCACAGCAATGAATACACACGCAACAGCAGAAGAAATGTTGGATGTGTCATTTTCTGTGTGGTCCATGTTGTATCAAAGGAAAGTAGGTGATTAGTTCTTCCCAAAATTTCTTGTTTACTTTTATTTTAGACAGAAATAAAGCTAACGATGTGCAAGAATTGCTGCTGCTGTTGCTGGTACCAACTTCCAAACCGGGAGAAATATGACTGTGAAAGGATCATTACTTTCATTTAGTTAAAAAGATATATGAAAAGGGAAGTGCAGCAATTGCTGCTATTGCTATCATCATCATCATCCTTGTCATTATCATCATCGTGTCCAAAACAACATGGGAGAAGTCTGACTATGACAGGATTAAGCCTCAAATTATGTGTTTTTTTCTAGATCTAATAAAATGGGCAGGCAAGTTATATCAATGCATAAGATGATCTAGAACATCTAAGTATACCTGTTGTTTGGCATTCCTGTTTGGTTTGACAGAAAAGTGGGCATCCTTCATTGCCTTTTCAATCATAGACACAGGATAAGGCCTTTTTGTTTCAGGATTTACACATTTGTCTGTAGAAAAACAGATTGAGGAAATCTTAAATCATATCCAATGTAGTTACATACATGCTACATAAAAGTGTTCATTATTTTTCATTCCTTGCAAGTACAGGTTTGAGTAAATTTTTTTGTTTCACATAGTGGGGGATGGAGTCCGGTTGGGTCCACTCAGCACGGTGGCCACTGATTGGCCTATTGTACCTCCCCTGGGTGATTATGATGATGGAGAATTTGGTGGAATGAAGATTGGCAGGGGAAACCAAAGTACTTGGAGAAAACCTACCGCAGCATCACTTTGTCCACCACAAATCCCACTCGATCAGACCCAGGTTTGAACCTGAGCTGCTGCAGTGGGAAGCCAGTGACTAACAGCTTGAGCCATGGTGTGGCCCACAGGTTTGAGTATCTGAGTGATGTTATGTTCAAACAATCCTACTGAAAACTGCCTTCAAAACATTCCCCTTCATCAGCAGAAAAGGGAATACATATAGAGTAGCAGAAAAGGGAATACATATAGAGTAACAAATTTTTAACAAACAAAAATTAAGTTTCCTTTTCTATATGTCCATCAAAGTGAACTTCTACTCTTCAGCATATAAATTCTGGTGAGCCTGGTGATTAAGTTTGTGTTCCTTACGTGATGGTCTTCACATTACTGTCCACTTAAAAGACAAAAGTGGTTGTGATAATGTGTTGTCTGGTCAGGACTATAACACACCTCAAGGTAGAAATAGATGAATATGGAGCAATGATAGAATGATAAATAGCAGAGGAAACCTTCCCCCTAAAAAATGAAGAAAAGAAACCTTCCTGCAACATTCTAATTAAATCATTTAAAGGCACCCTTGAAGTTATATTACCTTGTAATTATAAATTATGTTTCTGAACCCTTTCACGCATCTTATAGTTTCATGGTTCTCTACTGAATACACAGCTACAAATAGCTTGTGTTATGTGCACAGGAGTTGTTACATAATACACTACCTGAAACTGTTGTTGCAATGTCCTTGAACAGTGATTCAAGTTGTGACTGCCTTTCCTTATCAGATACCTGAAGTTCACCCTTGGCTAGAATTTCCTTACACACCTCTGTCTGATCATCTTTCCCAAAAGCCTTAAGAAGATCTTCCTTTTTTGCTACCTGACCTTTTGATACATTTGTAAACACAGTGTGTGTCTGCAGCACTTCATCAATATCTGTTTCTCTGCAAATATTAAAATAAACCAAACAGAAGTGACAGAGCACCAGTAAATACACACATTTCTCTTCAGATAATTAATTTATTTAACATTCTGTTCGAATATCAAACCGTTCGAAGTTCAATGGTCCACTGTATAGGTCTCAAATATTCCAAATATATAGAAAGGTGCATAGAATTAAAAAATGTTTCACTTTATGCAGATGACAGTGTGTACCTGAAGGTACATAAAAATTCTGAACTTAAAATTAGTATTATCTGGCTATGTCACCACAATTATTTGTATAGGTATACCATAAACTATACTTTCAAAGCATGTAGTAAAATTGTAGTAGTGTGGTATATCTATACAAAGAACTGTGTTGGCATGTAGTAAAATTACACGTTATGTTACACACATACACACAAATAACTGCGTCGACGATGCCAAATGATAAACGCAGTTTCACACTCAATGTGACGATGCCATACAACGTTTTTAATGCACAACTTACATTTTATTTCTCCAAGATACAACTTTATTCCTATAACATGCAATTTCAAATCTCTTGCCACCTTTTCTCATTCGAACTACTGCAACATTTGTTAACCTAATTTGGTTGGTAGGGGTGAATATTTTAGACATCTCTAGTTCTCAACTGTATTGCACAACTGGAATCATTTCCACACTCAAATCACGACTACCAACCACCACAACTTGTTGCGAACTGACATTATACCGGAAGTGTCACGGTCTTATGGTGATATACTTCTTTGATGCAACTGATGAGAAGTTTACAGAAACACATTTAAATCATCCATCAATTAGGTGTTTCTTCTCTTGAACTTGCCATTACATAAGAGATATACCATGCACCACTATAAATATTGCAGATATATACTTATTTATATTCACAATTAATTCTGTAAAATATGTCTGTGCCTTTGACACTACTACCTAACCGTCTCTCTTGGTTGAACCATTATATTTTCATAGTGCCTAGACGCATGTGCAATGAGTCCCTTCATTTGTCTGCTCTCTACTGTAAAATTAAAATGGCACCATGGAAAGTGTAGTGATCTGAGACTCAGTAGGGAATAAGTGTTTAAAGTGATGCAAGTCAGAAAATTGCAGAAATAAACTGAGAAATCTCGGGTGGTATAAATTATTTACTTTACAAGCTGTTGTTATGGCTTTGGTCACAGTTCAGAGGTCTCCAAGCGTTAGTAGTTGCAGTTCACCACCAAGTTCTGTAAGTACATTATGCGTAATGTCAGTAAAAATAAATTCACAGTGCTATGATTGCACAGTAATACTGTTATCGCTGTATGTTCAAGAGACCTGTGTTAAAGATTACGAGTAACGAAATCTTATATTTTTGTAACGCATCATGCGCAGCTTAAATAGGCGGGCTTTAAGCACTTTGTTGGATGTAACATGCCCTCATAATGACAGATTTTAGTAGAAATCGCTGAGACTTTCGTAATGACAGCCCAATGGAATATCGTCATTGAGGGATACGTATCACTTTTGTCTGGAGTTGTATTGATGCATGAAATTCAAAAAGTGACAAGGGGGGGAAAACGTCACTTACTGTGAGTACCTCAATTAAAATTGCCTGTTATTAGTTTAATAGCAAGAAAACATCAGTCCAGTAATTTCGAATTCATAATATTGTTATTAAGGTTAATGTTGTGTCACTTTTTAAAATTTAAGTGTAATTCAGCAACGATAATGTGCAATTTCAAGAACTGCACTGTTTTAAATCTTTAGCTTGGGCTAATTACACAAATTTAACTTAAGCATTGTCCATAAATCCACACGGCTTTGAGAAATAGTTCACTTTTTCGGTGGTTAGTTATTAGGCAGTGTGAACGAAGCATTATTCCGTGCAAAGTGGCTGCCATATGTTGGATCATTTGAACTAAAAATATTTTTCTTAAGGACTGGGTTGTAGTGCCACTTAAATCATCACCCGTAGCGTAGAGAGATTGACCTTATGATTATTTCACTATAAATTTTACATTTAAGCTCTTTGGTTTTGAATTATTCTTTTCATGGCATATTTGAAGGATTGTTATATTACATTTTCTCCTAAATATCTCTGTATTCAGACTTTGGTCATGTGGTGTGACAATGTGTACTTTTTCAGGTTGTTACCGACGTTTCAGAGGAAAATGCTAACCCCATCTACGGATCAGGTAACCACCTTCTGTAGAACCTGCCTATAGAACTGCTTCCTCACCCTACACACTCTAGTCCTAAAGATGGAGGCAGCATGTTCCTCTGAAATGTCATTGTCTGCCTACAAGACTACACAGTATCACACCCCATAATATGAACACTCACAACCATGAAAATCTCAAAAGTAGTATCTCTGTGTTTCAGTAACTTCAGATTTTATAAACCCATGCTAATGTGAGCATGTTGAATGTATACATGTATGAATGTAAATATGAATGATTTATTTTTGCAAATAAGTAAACTTGTAATAGTTCTAGATGATAGAAGTTGAAGGAGGTTATGAATAAGTTTCAGTTAATTTTAAAACTGCAACTGGGCATGTCTCGGCATTGGAAATGGTTTATAAGAAATTGTCATGATGACTGCAGAAGCACGGCTTAAAAAACTTGACAAGGTTAAGAAGTAGAAATAAAAATCTTGTTTAGATGATACCTTCTCATTTTTACAGGTAGCTCAGTGATAACATGTATTTTAAATTTGAGAGTCATGGTTTTCCCCAGTCCCTCTAGGTGAATGTCAGGATATACCTTAAAATAGATGACTCTAACTTCCATACTCAGTCTTCCCAGGTGACACTATGGCAGTAACGCCTGATGGGTAGTATCGCCAGTATTAAAGCCTGCAATTGGATATGATTCGGGGAATCTTCTATTCAGCTGCATCCTCACAGCTTGTTTGCTTAATAGTCGTCCAAATATTATGCATCTCCTAATCATTCCTCCAAGTGGTTGCTTTTGCAGAGTTTTTTCACCCAAATTTTTCCTCCTGACCTTCCCACCAATGTCATATATGCATTCCTCTTCTCCCCATTTGTGCTGTATGCCCTGCCCATCTCATCCTCCTTGACTTGATCATTCCAATTACGTGGGGGTACCCAAAAGAAACCAAACTTATTTTTTTTAGACTTATTTATTCAAATTTTAAGCACAAACCTTCAGTCTCCTTCAAAGTACTCTCCACTTACTCTAATACACTTGTCTAGTCTTTTATTCCATTTTTCAAAACATTGTCTAAATTCATCTTTTGAGATGCTTCACAGCACCTCCGTCGTTTTTTCCTTTCATGTCTCTTTTCATTCGAGGAAACAAAAAAAAAAGTCGTACGGGGCAAGGTCGGGTGAGTATGGAGGGTGAGGAACAGGGGTCATACCATTTTTGGTCAAGAATTGTCGTACAGACAGGGCTGTGTGAGCAGGGGCATCGTCATGATGGAAAAACCAGTCACCCGACTGCCACAAATTTGGCCGCTGAGCTCCAAGTCACTCCCGACAGCTCCACAATTTCTTCAGTGGTCCATCGTCGATCTTCCTTGATGATTTCACGAATTTTTTCAACATTTTCTTGTGTTCAGGCCGTGGAAGGACGACCAGAACGAGGTTTGTCATCAGTTGACATTTCACCATTTTTGAAACGGGAAAACCACTCAAACACTTGAGTTTTCGCCATAGCATCGTCCTTGTACACCGTTTTTAACAATTCAACAGTTTCTGTTCCACTTTTCCCAAGCAAAAAGCAGAATTTCACCGGCGCACGTTGTTCACGAAGTTCAGCCATTGCAAAAACGACGATCACACAAAACAGTTGTCACTATAAACTCTGCCGAAACTAGTCCTTACCTTCTGAAGCAACGGTAGTTGGCTTATTGACTCAGGAATGTTAGCTGTATGGGCTCATAGCGGCATACTACAAAAGCTCTGCCCACAAAAAAATTAGTTTGGTTTCTTTTGGGTACCCCATCGTATACCTGGAGAAGAGTTCAAGTTACAAAGCTCCTCATTATGTAGTTTTCTCCAACCTCCTGTCACTTCATCTCTCTTCCAACCAAATATTCTCCTCAGCACCCTGTTCTCAAACACCTCCAGTCTGTTCTTTCCTTAATGTCAGAGACCAAGTTTCACAACCATACAGAACCATATGGAAAATGGACTCACTGAAAGAATTATCTGACATGACAACTGTTTCTGCACCTTTTCCTCATCTGCCATATGTTTGCATGTTGATTTCATATTCATGGAGAAACAGTCTTTGTCTTTCTTCTAAAATAGCTCAAGTTTTTTTGCCACATTCTTTTAAAATTTTTCCGCAGTTCAACTGTATGAAACCAGTTTTACCAAATTATTTAATGCTGTGTCATAATTCATTCTAGACTGAACTGTTGATTGAAATTGCCTGAATATGTTGCAAGGGTATGTGTGAAACCCAGTGCTGGAAACTTGAAAGATAAGCCATTGTGATACTGTAGAAACCGTCATTGATGCATTATTCACTTTAACTTGTATTTCCCATATAAACTTGTGAGTAGAATCCTGTACATAAATTTATGTAGTAAATATTTAATAAAATTACCAGAAAGATGACATGATGAAGTCTTTACCCTTCTGTCATTCGCCACAAGTTCTGCCTTTCCAGTGATTGCCATATTTCATTGCCTTTGTCATCATTGTCATTAAAGAGTATGTCATTTTATGTGCATAAGACAGTATGTGTTTCCTCACAATTCCTTGGATCTGACTTTCTGACATCTCTACATAACCATCCGTAATATATTTTTGATTCATCAGTGTTATTTTCTAATTTTCATTTCTTGCATCCTTTTGTGTTATAATATACAATTTCTTTATTAAATATAGTTGTGTTGTGATGGTTTTAATAAAGAAATTGAATGTTATTTTCACCAATCTGCTTTCCAAGATCATAGGAGGAGTCTGTATCCCCACTGCATTTCAGTTTTGCTCTATGATGCACTATCAAGAAAGGCTGAATCTGACATTTGTCTGTGCTTATAACGTCAATTTATTGGGGAGAATACAAATATCATAATTAATTATCATAAACACCAGCAAATAAACTGTGTGGAAGTAGAGTAAGACTGCAGTGATCGAGACTGATTGGGAGGGAACACTTGTCCAAATTAGTGAAAGCCCGAATTATAGAAGGAAAAGGAAAAAGAAAGGAAACACGCACACAGAAAAGAGACAAACAAAAGGAAGATGAAAAAAGGAAAAGTCCGAATTATCGCGAGTTCCGAATTAGTGAGGTTTCGCCGTAAACAGAAGTAAAACTGAATATATGAACATTATGTTAAACCAAATTTAATAACAAAGTTACAATATAACTTTCGCAAATAAATGATTGAGAATGTCTGAGAATGTAATGCCACGCTATTCGGCGAGGGCCAGAATACAGTCACTGTTGTGACAACATCGAATCCAAATAGAAATTAGAGAAATTATGGAAAGAATACATTCTGGAAATGATTCCAGAATTTTACAGTCACTTTAAATAACCCAGCCGGTATAGAGACGTGCTACTGGTTGGTTTGATATCCGCTTCTCCACAACGTCGAGACCGGTTCTGCAATCCATCCAGCCTCCTACTCAGTGGATACCTGAAGCTCTTTCCTCGTAGTTAAAAGCGGCCGGGGCGTGAAGGGGACCACTCATTTTATCGGCCGTTCGTGCCGAAGACGGTTTGAAACTTGGATCGCCTGTGAAAAGCGGATGAAGGATTTTCAAGAAGAATGCCCAAACCGAGCACCGATTTCTTAAAATTTAACGGCGAACATTCGGCGTTTCGATCTCCCCCCCCCCCCCCCCGCGNATACTGCAGTTTCCCTTTGTGGAACTGTAACATCCCGAAATTTACACCGACTTAATTCTTATTTTCTTGTGGAATAACTTTTTACGAATCAGTGTGGCTGCTTCAGGATCCTCGGGTTCGTTGGCAGGTGTACGTAACAGCTCCTCTGTTCCAGCTGTTCCTCACCCCTGAAGAGCCCGAGTAACGAAAACAAACATTAGCGCACACCGTGTCAGGCGGGACATCTCGTCCAGGAAGACACGTTATCACGTGGTACGTGGGCGCAGGAAGTAACACGACAGTGACTGACTGCTTATCGCGCAGGTCAAGTGTACTAACGGCAGTTAAATCGTCATTAAGGCCTAGGAGATAGTAGGTGAGTGCAGAACGCAGGAGCTGTCTGTCCGTGGTTGCAACATCAAAAATCTAGTAGTACGTGTAAAATAGATATGCAGGATATCAGTGCTTTGTACACTTGGATATGTGTTAGGGCGTAGAATTATCCTTCGTATAGTCTGTTTATTGTGGGTTATTTAACGACGCAATCAGTATCGACATCGTATAGGTTCGGTCGCATGTTTAACATAATACGGTAGACGCCAGATAAATCGGGCATGGATTATCCTGGGTTATTTGTTGAGAAAACAAGCTTGTCTTCTCGTCTGCTGCCTAAAAACATAAAAATTAGAGTATGCAAAACTATAATTTTGTCTGTGGTTCTGTACGGGTGCGAAACTTGGTCTCTGACATTAAAGGAGGAACATAGACTGAGCATGTCTGAAAACAGAGTGTTGAGGAGGATTTTGAGACCGAAGAGCGATGAAGTGACGGGAGGTTGGAGAAAACCGCGTACGTAATGAAGAGCTTCATAACTTGTACTCTTCTCGAAGTATAATTAGATTGATCAAGTCAACAAGAATGAGATGGGTAGAGCATGTAACACGAATGGGGGCGAAGAGGAATGCATTAGGATATTGTTCGGAAAGCCAGAAGGAAAGTGACCTCTAGGAAGACCAAGACGTGGGTGGGTGGACAATATTAAAATGGATCTCAGAGAGATAGGATGGGGTGGCATGGACTGGATCGATCTGGCTCAGGATAGGGACCAGTGGAGAGTTCTTGTGAAAACGGGAATAAACCTTCTGGTTCCATAAAATGTTGGGAAGTTCTCAAGAAGGGCTCAGCTCCATGAGAGTGAACTTTGTGTAAATTCGATAATCGAATTATAAATTCTTAGGCAGTTTTAATAATATGCTACATTATAAACCACGTTATATAGATCGTCTTCTGCATTCGAGGCTTATTTTGTGTTCAATTTTATGTTCTGAAAACATTTCACTACATTGTACAAACTAATTATTGTCATTAGGCATATAAAAGGAATCGAGGTTCAATTCTCGGCAGAGGAGAGTGATATCTTCACAGCGTCCAGATCGGCCCTGGGTCCTACCCAGCGTCCTCTTCAGTGCGTGCTCGGTGCTCTTTTCCGGGTGTAAAAGAGGCCAAGGCGTGAAGCTCACCACTCACCTCTATCTAGTACCGAGGTTAAGAACACTGGAGCCATACCCTCACTCCGTCATACGTTTTCGTAACGTGGTGCTTAGTTGCGCACAGGGACTTCTTTTTATTTTCACCAGGAGGCATTTAAGCAGTTCCGTGTGTAAAACGATTTACTTGCCATATCTTCTAAGTTATGTGTGTGTTGGATCGTAGTGGTTTCCTACCATGGATCTCATACACACTACTAAGATGAAATGCTATGATTAATAATAAGTTTATTATTGTTTTGTTATTTAACGACGCTGTCAGTTTCGAGATATATACGATTAATAAGATCTAAGAGTTTGTGACAATGGCACATTCGTACAAGTATGTTTTTGGACAGTGTCCATCTTCTTGTCTATATCTAAAAACCGTCGTGTTTATTTTTCAAAACAACTGGCATAGGTGTCCGGAGATAGGGACGAGCTCTATCTATTGGGCCCAACTGAGTAGGTTTTACCTGAAGACGGAGACAGAATCCAGTCTCCGAAACGTGTTTTGAAAAATAAACAGGACAGTTTTTAGATATAGAGAAGACGATGGATAATACCCAAAAACATAATATTTGTACCGATGTTGTAGGATTGTTGATTGTTACTACTAATACTACTACAACGAACCGGGGTAGCGCAGTCGTTATAGCGACTGGCTACGGGCTGGACAACCAAGGGGTTCGGAGTTCAAGTCCCGGTGGGAGCAAGAATTTTCACTTCACCATGTTGTCCAGAGTGGTTGTGGGGCCCACGCAGCCTCCTATCCAATTGGTGCCGGGGTCTTTTCCCCCGGGGGTAAAGTGGCAGGCGCCTGAAGCAACCACTTACCTCCAGCTAGTGCCGAGGTCTATGAAACGTGGGTGTATACATGCACACCCCCATACGTCTTCATGGCGGACAACTTTACCATTTACTACTACTCTACTAGGCCAATGGAAATATAAATGAAGGTCAGTGCCAGTGTTATTTTGAAGAAATTGTTTTACATATGCGAGAATTTTTTGTTGTTAAGTTTGGTTCTCAGTCTCCTGCAATAAATCCATTAAATTTATGTGCCCGTGCTGGTTGTCGAGTGCTTCCGATTACCCCCGGACGCCATTAGCCTCAAAACGACGTGAAATACCGTAACGGAGTGTTTGTGTTTCGTGGCCCCTGCCACTGAGAGCGCTGCTGTTGTGCGGATGTCTCTTGTCTCGCGCTCAGCTGCTGGCTGCCTGCCTCGCCTGCTGCAGATGTTTTTTCAGTTGTGAAGTGCAGCCGAAGGTGGGTGGAGGTGATTGTTGCAGAGCAGCAGTATTACATCCAGGTCCGTGTTCGTCGTTGCTTATTTGTCTGTTTTAAATCCACGGTTTGTATTAACGAATATGTGAAGTGGTAGAAAGTGGTGCCGACGGTCGTGCAGATTGTATGGCGGTGTAAAGAGTGAGTTTTACGTGTTTGGTCGACATGCTGTACATTTTACCGCCTCCAAGTGCGCCAAGTCCTCCGTCCCCATGGACCACAATCCTTTGTGGAAGTGGTGGTGGCAATGAAGGTCCATCCAGTGGGGGCAGTGTTAGGGATGGCACTGTCAAAACGACGGCTGGTGGGGTAGTAGCTTCCGTGGTGCAAGGGAATTCGTGGGTCTCCGTCACTGCAACAAATAGAAGACCTCCATCAGCCCGCGGTCATGCCCCAAGGAGTCTGAAGAATAGGGTGAGTTGCTGTGTATAAAGGTTGATGTCAGTGTCCAAGCTTCCCCCTTTAGAATCGAATATTGTTCTTGTGTAGTTCTTAGAAAGAAAACTGTGGAACATTGTCCGCCAGAATAGATGGCCGCTCTGCTGAATAAAAAAATTAGTGTTTAGTAATTAAAACGAAGATTGATTACCGTCTTAACAATTGTCCGCTACTAGACCATAGGCCCATAGAGTTGTGAGACGTCGAGGCTTCCACATTTTCTAGATAATCTGCTCACAAATGGCGGTGAGGTTGTCAGCCTTATGCACCGGGCGCCATTTACCCCAAATAAGATACCTGGTACTCATTTCTGTTAGAGGCTGAGTCGACTCCAGGGCCACAGTTCTTCTGGAAGGATTAGGTCAATTGAAAAATCCAGTGACCTCATCGGGACTCTAACCCGCGACATTCCGACTTGTTGCATAATGCGTCAACCAATTACACCACCGGGTGCCCCGACACACAACATAATGCGTAAAGTTACATATTTGTATGCGAATAGTAATTTAATATGTACACGCGCGTCGAAAGGTCGTGAAGTGAAAGAAACAAAACGGACAGTGTTGTCCTGATATGGTTGTGCCTTTCGTAGTTGGTGGTGGAGATATTTTTGTTATCTGTAAAATCTCTTTATATCTCTTTGCTTGCGCGTTGCTTCGAGATAAATTAAACCTTATGCAAATGTTCAGTTAGTTCAAAGTTAGTGTTCAACCTTGACACCCTTTGTACAAATTGGGCAACATTCTGATAACTTGCCGTGCCAGATTTTTACAGGCAGTAAACCTGAACGTGGTGCTGCTACCGCAGACGTTGCGGGTGACAACCTTGTTCACGTCAGCAAAACATTCCTCTTGTCTCTCTCACCTGTGGTACAGTGTGCAGCTGGCAGCGGTACAGCGCAGGGCAGTGGGAAATCGTAGTACACAATCTCAGTCGGCCTTTGTAATGCCAAAAAAAGGAAGTGTTCATAAAATTAAAATTCCATGAAATCTGGTTCCAGAAATTTGGTCGCAAGTTTTCGTTATTTATTTATGACCGCCTTTGTGGCCTAGTGGTTCCTGGCTACAGATCCAGAGGTCCCGGGTTCAATTCCCGGCTACGAGATTTTCTGAGAAGTAGTGGGTCTGGTACGGGGTCCACTCGGCCTCGTGAGGATAACTGGAAATAGCGGCTCCGATGTAGAAAACCGAATAAACGGCCGTGGGGATCCGTTGCCCTGACCACGCGACACCCTCTATCCGCAAAAGTTGACACTAACTTCACCGACAAGTGGCGGTCTCTCGGTCGGTATAATTCGCTTGCGGACTACAGGCCACGGAGTTTGTTTTTCTTTCGTTTTGTTCAGCGACGCTGTACATGAGTAGGTTCTTATAGAGGTAATGCTCACGACTTATATTCGGGAGGTGACCTTTTGAATTTCAGCCGGAGTAATTGTTACCTCGAATGATGGTCTTCGTGGATTTTTTCAGTCCTTCCAAGCAAAAATCTGAACTAAGACATTTCCGCTTGCTCCCACATCCTTTCCAATCCATTATCATTCATCTGTCCCCCTACCATTCGGCTCTGTATATTTAGGTGCTAAGTGCGTCGCAAAATACAGGGTGATACAGAAAGATGGACACAATTTCAATTGGCTATATTTCCTGAATTATAGGTTGCATTTGAATTCTGTAAATTACACTTGATTATACATACATGGAAGTTTATAGATGTTCAATGTGCCCCCCCCCTCCTCCGGCTGCACGGATAACATCTAGACGGTAGCTGAATTCGTCCTACACTCGATGACAAATATCTTGCGTCACTGAGTTCACCGCAGCTGTGATACAGTTTCTTAGGTCATTCAAATTTGTGGGAAGAGGTGGTACACGCCACACAGTTGTTTGCGATAGTCCAAGTTCTCTACTAGCACTACGGGTTGACTTCATTGGGCTGCGCTCAAAGTTCACTCGAATGCACTCCACGTTCTCCTCCGATACACGCGATCGGCCCGGGACGCAGTGATGGAGGGCACTAGCGGTAGTACTAGAAACTTTGTAACATCCTCTTTCAAATGTACTTTACAGAATTCAAATGCAACATACAGTTCAGGAAATATAGTCAATTGAAATTGTGTCCATCTTTCTGAATCACTCTGTAAATCTCAGAACATCAACGACGCTGTCGTAAATCAAATTATGTAACGTCAAACAGAAGTATGATTAGTGAATAGTGAATTTGGAAGAGTGAGAGGAGCGGTCATGGCCTAATGTAAGGTAGTACCCGTGGACATTTGCCTGGAGGTACCGATAAGAAACAATTTAGTCGTTATTATCAGTGACCCGGCCGATATTCGAAACGGACATCTCCGGAGAATAAACCAGAAGCGTTACCGCTTGAGGCAGCCTGCTCATTGATGACCCTGATGAGAATATATGCGTTTGGGTATCAGAAAATTATAGCGGCCTTTTGTTTCAGTTGCCCAGCTATGTTAGTACTCGTATTATCGTAAGAACTAGAATCATTTAATCACATGAAGATCCGTGGAGCCAGAGAAACAGCCGTTGCCAGCGAACGGCTCTGAAACAATATTTGTAGGCAGCGACCGCGAAATAAACAACGGAACAAGGTCCGTTACTAGGCAGCAGATTCTCAATGATGCAGCAGTTGGACTACAACAATAGAAGACCTGTGTTTGCTGTGTGGTCTGTCTGGTCGTGAATCTCAAGGGGCTTGGCGCCAAAACGAATTGATTGGCGTTAAACCGCCAGTCATGGAGTAACTTTCACTTTGACTTGTGTTCTCTGTTTGAAGCCAGGTAGTGAAGAGAAAAATTTATGTGCGTTGTGGTTACAGTGATATTTCGAGGGTGTAATTGAGTGATTTATAGTTACTGTGTTAAAATCCGTTGCCAGGAAACGACTAGTGAAAGTAGACGGAGGAGGCTTGCCGCGTGCTGAAATGGTAAAGTGCGAAAATTGGCGGTAGTGTTATAGTTATTCGTAGTTACGACCTGTAAGTGGTCAACAAATCCAATCCAAAACCCTGTCCACATTCTACTCATACACTTGACAATATGTTGAATAAAATTGATTTTGGTATTCGGTTTTTAAGTTAAAAGGCCGAAATGTGTTTATGGGTGTAAAGGCTTGTACAGACAGTAATGTATTGCTAGATGTTTGATTTTATAATTATTTATACATACTAACGTTGAATGAATTGGCGGGTTGCAATAGCGGCGTCTACTTGAAGGACAAATAATTCAACGCATACAATTGCTTTGCATATCCTCATATTTAATTTGAGGACGTGCTTGATTTTCATTTTGTCTTTGCTTTATGCTCTTCATAATGAATTATGGGGCAGTAAAACAAATGACTTTATAATCGCTTAAGTCTTTGAGTCCACACGAACATGTGTTTTAGATATCCTTTGCTGTCAAGGCCCATGGATAGTCTTAATACAATAATACGAATAGTAGTCCTGTTGTAAGATGTAATTATGGTGTCATAAACGTTACTGCTGTTCATGCCACGTTAGTGAATAAATATTTCCAAATTTTAAAATAACAGTTTAATTCTGATGATAGACGAAGTTTTCTAGACAGCACGACCGTGAAGCCAACTTACGCACCATCTGGTGGCCCGATTTCACGAGACGAATGAATGTCAGACCCTTCCGCCCGAGTCTGTCGAAAGAAGAAACCTCATTGTACGCATGGGCCCCGCCAGGATACTCTTTTCAAAAGGGGACTGGGAGAGGCAAAAAAAAAATATTCTTACAGAGTTGCGTGTGAGCCGTGGAAGACTAGTTCTACAGATCTCGCTAGGATGTTTGTGATACATTTTTAAAACAAGTTTAATCTTTGGTATTAATATTTGATTGAATTCCTTTTCTAAATTTAATTTTTTTTAATCAGTTGGGCAGATACCTGGCTTGCCCTCCCCAGCCTGCCGCTGCCCATATTTGAACGTCTGGGCGGGTGGGGTTTGTGCCATCACACTTCTTTCACATTGCATCTCACTACCACCTCAGACATTGCTACGGAAGTCTAGATGGAAAGGTGTTGCAAAATGCCATTTTACAACTCTCTTTGTTTCCAAGTACGGTCTTTGAAACTGTGTGTCTTATGTCAGTATAAACATCGGTGACACGACATAATCTCAGAAAAAAGGTAACGCTATCCCTGTAACAGACCGTGGAGGCCCGTAGGGTTGTGAGACATCGGGGCTCCCACATTTTTTAGATAGTCTACTCATAGATGGCGGTAAGGTTGTCAGCCTTACGCGCCCACCGCCCTTTACCCCAAGGAACATTCCTGGTACTCGTTTCTGTTAGTGACTGAGTCGACCCCAGGGCCGTAGTGCGGCTGGAAGGATTAGTTCAATTGAAAAATCCAGTGACCTCATCGGGAATCCGGCTTGTAGCATAGTGTCTCAACCAAAGACACTACCACGTTCTTCACATAATCTCTGTTCTTTCTGACAGACGCCCTTGGCTGTGGAGATTTCTGTTCAACCCTATCAGGTGTGACGGTGTCCGCGCTTTCGAGAATGAAGATTTTCAGTGTTAAGATTATATCGTATTGACTGGTAGATAGTTACTTTTCTTCGCCGAAGCACGTTTCTTTCATACAACGGTAAAGTTGTACCGTGCTACATGCATCAGATCCCAGAAAACGGTCATCTTCATGTAGTATACGAGTCCGCGAAAACCCCATTGATGTTTTATTGGTCACTGAACGAAACATGGTTGTGGCTATCTACTGTACAGAAGTTCATGTATTTTTTTTTCTGTGGCCCAAGGCTATGTGCCCAGCAGATGATCATAGACGTTTCGGAGAGACATACTGCCTTCACTTTCAGGAACGAAGATACACTAAGTTAGTTTCAAAGTGTTATTCCTTGCTTAACGTATCTTGACCCAGAAGATGGAGGCGGGAAATCCCTCCCAAAATGTCCTTGAACTTCTAACATGTGACGCGGCTTCGCATGTCA